AACAACATGATTTCTTATTTCAAGTAGTCCTCAACGTACAACCAAACTGCAGATAACAGTCAGCTGAAGTGGCCTGCAGTACTGCACCCTAACCACTGCGCCACCTCGGCTCGGCAAAATTGTGTAATTTTCCAATAGTGAACCCAGGGCAGAAATAGTGTAAAAATCTTGCTAGCACTCTTACTAATATGACATCTGTTTCTTTAAAAAAAACACTTCTTTTTGTATTACGTAGCAAATTATTGTTTTTATATTTTGTAATAAACAACTTGTGTTGTTATTTGGTGCAGCAGTTTTTTTTTTTAAAGCTGTGATCTGCTTGATGGTACCAATGTCCTCTTTGGCCATGACTGTGTTGGCAAGGAAGACAATCAGCATCTACCTGTTTGTTGCGGGGCATGCCATATAGCAAAAGCACTTAAACTTATATACTGCTTCATAGTGCTTTACAGTCCTTTCTAAGCATTTACAGAATCAGCATATTGCCGCCAACAAACTGGGTCCCAACTTCAGCAGCATGGAAGGCTGAGTCAACCTTGAGACAGTGAGAATCGAACTGCTGGCAGTCGGCAGAATTAGCTTGCAATACTACTTTCTAACCACTGCGCCACCACAGCTCTGCATACAGCTTCATATCCTTGGAGTGCCATGCCTTTCCATCACTACCACACCTCCTTTTTTCTTTTTCTTTTTTTGTGTAATTGATCACCTTGGGATAGAAAAACTGGTTTTGAGAGTAAAAGAACCAAGGAATTTAAATTTTGCTTCAGAGCACTTGTTTCATATCAAACTGCCAACAGAATTTTGCTGTGCACCACAATAATGTACTGGTACTTTGTTAGACATTCAAGTCTAAAATACTTGCAATTGTAGGGCCGGGTTCCAAGACCGGGATTTGCTTTAACTATAGTTGGAAAAAACCACAACAGGCAATTCAGATCCTAAACCATAAACCATGGCTTCTAAACCGTAATGAGTAAGTCGATGCAACAACATTCAACCAAAATCAAATAAATCACAATATGATTTATTACAGTATCTTTAATCCAGTCAGTGCAGATATGAATAAATGGGTAAGTGGGTAGGACAATGGGGACATACCTGATTGTTGTGGGGCATGCCATACAGAGCTTCAACAAGGTCAGCTGCTCTTTTAAGTAATACTTCCTAAAGGAAAAAAAGAGAATGGTGCATTGTGAAAATGGATACAGCAAGGACTTAGCATCCATTGTTTTGAATCCCTGCTAACCCAGATAAAGCATATTAACTTGAGTGTGTTGTTGTATGAAAGAGAGAGAGAAGTTTTACAAAGAACAGCTAAGGCGTTTTGCTTTGGGGGAGAAAAAAAAAGCATTTGGGTTCAAGTCAAAGTTAGATAGGAACCTAAAAATAAGAATGCATTTTATATCCAGCTGTTCAATTATGACTGACTAGAAAAGGTGTTTGCTGCTGTAGCATGTACTCTGGTGCTGAATTAGTGAAATCAGTGCTTGAGGTTTAATGATGTAGTCTTATGGGTATTAAACAAACAAACACATGGTAGAGATATGAAAGGCACAGGCATCACATTTGGCTGTTAATTCCTAGCACTTTAGTGGTGAAGAACAATAAGCAATTTTCCATATCTTAATTAAACTGGCAGAGTCCTTAAAGACAACATCTCACCCCTAATTCATGCCCCAAATTTGCAAGTGAGTTCAATGCTTATTCCTCTTTATTTTGAACAATAAAGTGAATTAACTTGGGTTAATCTAGTTCTTTCATAATGACATTAAGAAATTTTTCAATTAACCTCTTTGACTGCATGTTGTAAAGGACTTCATAAATGACTTCACATTCAGAGAGTGTTGAGTACTTGTGCCTGGGGGCATGGATGCACTGAATTTTGTCTTATCCCTGTCTGCATGCCTACCTCCAGTTTTACGATTGGAGAGGATTAATCCATACTTTAGTTAATTTTAAATACAAACGGACTTAAATCTGAATATTTATCCTTCAGCTGCAGTAAGTTTAGTTTAGGGGTTTGTGTGATATGGGCAGGTTGTGGGAAATAAGGATGATGGGTTTTAAGATGCTAGAATGCTAACTGTGTTTTCAAGGCTTGTTAAGATTTGATCTCTCTTTTCTTGAAAATATTCCTGACATTATTTGAAAATGATACCTCTGAGTATTCAAGCAACCCTACCTTAAAATTGCATGCATAGGAACTGAGAGTTTTGGAGTTTGCATTTATTAGGCCAAAGACACATCATTCCGATGGAGGAATTGATATGGAAACACGTGACAATCATTTCTGATGGAGACATAGATTCATGGGCATATATGGGAATTTCACTACTTGTAGCAATAGCACATGGCTGTAATTAGCCACAGATTTCCCTTTTGCAATGGAATGAGGCACAGAATGAGCAATTCACATGTGGCTAATGTGACAGAAGCCCAGTTAACTGAAAGCGTATGTAGCAAGCATGCCCCGTGCATATGCACATAGATGTGCGTGTGTGCGCACGCACATACATGCACGCACAGAGAATGCAGGAATATGCAGCAGTACATTTCCATTGCTGCTACGGTTTATATGTGGAGATGCAAGAGCTCTGACTCTCCTTGACTTCCTTTTGCTTTGCTTATGAAACTTCTCAGCATTAAAATTAGAAAATATCTGTATAATAATGAAGGCAGGTGTGAATAATTCTATGTGAAATATATACAGTATCATACAGAGGCAGAGTCACCTCATAATTTCCTGAACGCTAATACAAACTGTCAGAACATCTTAATACAAATATACCGATGCTATTAAATTTGTGTTGCCTCGGAAAAAGCAGGAGGCTGCCTATGAAACACTAGCCTTGGTTCATTGTTCCTTTCATCTCTGAGAAGGTTCCTATTCTGGATCTTTTATTTATCAAGATTAATCACTGTACGCATCAGTTTTTCAGCATGCCATACATTCACGGGAGCAGCACTTAATCCAGAAAGTTGCCGGATGGATGGCTCTTACAATGGGCATTTACCTCTGAAATTGGTGTGTATGCCTGATGTTGCACGCATCTAGTTTGCATACAAATAAAGAATTATTCTTGTCGTGAAGCAGGTATAATCAATGAAAGGCACAGCTGTCTTAATCAGGTTTCGTTAGCCGGAGCAGCTCTCGGTGAGCAAGATAAAGTGTTTTTCAGAGGTGTTAATAATTACTCATAATCTCTCCTATCATATCGCAAGACTTTTTACATGCCTTTCAATTTTAAGCAACGATTAAAGCAATTAAGATTGCTGCATTTACAAGCTATTTTTCATTCCCAGAAAATATCCTACACCTACTTGTCCATATGGTACTTTGCAATTGGAACATAAGGATAGTTTAGGAAAATTACGTATGCTCTTATCCCTAATCTGCCTATTACTGGATAGTATCTTAACTAATGAACCTGACTTTCAAAGCTGCTCTTAAGTGGTGGTCTTGTCATATCAGAGAGACACAAAATGTGTAACCCAATCAGTCAAGGATGCTTTGAACAAGTTTGTTTTGTTACAATATGCCTGGCTTATGCATACTGCCTCATGCTGTGAATACGATTAGCACCGAATGGTGTTTGAAAAGCAT